GTATTGACGTTAACTACTATGAAAATGAAATGTTTTTTAAAATTTATACAAATAAACTTCTTTGCAAAATGTAGAGGCAGCAATTTCTACGTAATAAACGTAATAACAAATTAAAATAGATTTGGCGCCTGCGTGTTAGTATAATATAATTATGGTAACGAAAACATCTTTGTGACAAAATACAATAGTAGAATTGACTTTGTAAAATATAAATATTGTTATCAATTGTACGTATTTGCTGTACAAGAAAATGAATTTCTCTAGAATTTACGTCAAATGGTATTAGATATGAACTAATTGTATTTATAAAGAAATTAATTTAAATTTACCTTTGTGCTTGAATTTCTACAAAAGGTCTAAGATTCTGACAAAGAGAAGGCATTATACTATTGTAATGATACTTTAACGTATCAAACAACAGTTAAAAAGGTTTTGAAATTTTTTCAGTACTTTTATGTCTTTTTTTTTCACTGATAAGCATATTTTTTTAGTATAGCCTTTCATCATTATGTTTGTTCGTTAAACTATACTCTTCAAACTTGTTTTTTTTAGTTTATCTTAAAAATTCAGGTCTATAAAGAGATTCGGTTTTACCGTGTATGATTTACTAGAGCTTCTTGTGTTTCTAAAACTCTTGATATAAATTTATACTTGATAAATTTTATTATAACAAATATATTCAATATAATTATGATAAGTTTTGTTTTTATTTAAAAATTTTTACAAATAAAAAAATTCAAAATCAATTTTTATTTTTGCCCAATCATTATTCCATTGCTTGGAATCACTATATGAATAAGTTTTGGGACACTGTTCTCCCTTATCATGATAAACAGCTTTACATCTTATCGAACAATTTGAATACTTGATCTTTTCTTTCCATTCTTGGCTCTTGACTTCAGGCAATTTTGGCCCATAACCTATGATTTCAGGAAATTTCAGAGCAAATCAACAATTATTCGTATTATAATTAGTTTTTTGATACCATTTGCACCATTTATAATTTTATATTCAACATCATCCTAATCCTAGTCAGTTATAGAGCCACAATAGCAATATTTCTTGTTTACTGAGCACCAATTACACTTGCTCGCTTTTACACCCCATGGAAGAGAATGATTTTTTGGTTTGGAACCCCATCCTTCTTCCTCTTGGTCTAGAATAAATAGTTATTGATCAATATTTCATACATTATACTAAATTATTTGAATATACTCACAGCTCATTATTTGAAATATAATATCATGATTTTGATATTAGTACGTTCAGTACAGGACATTTATATTTATGCTTTGATTTATATCACAAATCTAGTATTTTTGTATTTAGCAATAGGAATCATTAGTGGTGTCCTATACTGATTAAAATATCTACTGATTATATGTTTTATTATACATATAAAAGAATACATAACATATTTTAATGCAGTATCATACTATTTACTAAAAATCATATACATTTAGTTAGAATTTACAATATATACATACTACGTATGTATACATAAAACACAGTTAGAAATTAGCTGATAAATAATACCAGTTTATCTTATTATTGGATAAAAACGATATGCAAGGTACGATTTAAAAGCTTATCGGAGAACTTTCATCTGATTGGCTAATTCAAATCAATTGCTCGGGTAACTAATTTATACAGTTTAAAGTACTTTTTCAGAGAGATTCGAAATTTAGCTTTGCATCTTTAGAATTCTCTATCAAATATGTAGACCTTAACTATTGTTGCAAAATTACATTCCAAACTTCATTAGACAATTTTTATGATGAGTGTAAAAAAAAAAATAGGGTTTTTAAAATTATATTTAGGCAATTTAGATTTGGAATTATAGAATCACATTTTGAGCTATGATATATTTGTTTAATAATAATACTAATATTTATTTTGAAAAATCAGACGCATTATCATTTTTTTTAAAAAAAATCAGTAATTACATTCCGAACGTCATTAGACAATTTTTATAATAAGACAAAGGTAATTTAGATTTTGAATTATAGAATCACATTTGAGCTACGATATATTTGTTTAAATAATAATAATAATAATAAAATAAATATATTGAAAAATCAGGCAGATTATCATTTTTTTTAAAAAACCAGTACCTTAAGTTTCATAACTAATATCTCATTGAATTCTGAAGCTATTATCATCATTTAATTGATAAATGAAAGCTCAGATCTTTAGCTTTCCTTTATCTATTTAATAATAGCTTTGAAATTCAGCGAGATATTAGCTGTGAAAGATAAGTCATTAATTTTTTTTAAAATGTTAATCTCCTGATTTCTATTGACAATAGCCCATATTTCAAAGAATTTCAAATTATTTATAATTTACAATACATCGAATTTTGTTTTTAAATTGAAAACTGGTTATATATATAATTTTTTTTAAAATATTAATCTCCTGATTTCTATTGACGATAGCCCATATTTCAAGAATTTCAAATTATTTACAATTTACAATACTTTGAATTTTGTTTTTGAATTAAAAACTGGTTATATATATAATTTCTAATATAATTTCTAAAGTATTCTATATTAAAGTCAATACTTTTAATACTACTGTTTTCAAGGTATTGATTCCATTGTTGACTAATGATGGATTAATTAAGTTTAATTTTTCTAAAAGTCTTTTTATCTCTATATTTGCCAAAATTCTTCTTTCTTGTAAAGTTTAATTCCTTATGATACAGTTTGAAAGTCCTGAGTTTACTCGATCAATTGTTTTTGCGATTTTATCTTTTTTGATTCGTTTATTTTCTTGATTTAGAAGCAAATATTCATGTCCAATTGTTTGTTTGAGGAGTATATTAAGTTTACAATTTTGTTTAAGGAGTAATTGTCTAATTTTTCGTTGAAGGTACAAATTTTCTTTTCTGCTTTGTTTAATGGTTTGATTTTTTTTGTTTATATTTTTCTTGAGTGATGCATTTTCTTCTTTCAATTTATCATTCGCTGGAGCTTAATGTTGATAGTTTCTTTCGGTCTATTACTAGACTCTTCTTCATCATCGTCCACTTTAATAACTAATATTGAATCATTGTTATCAGCAGCATTGCTTTCTTCAGCATTAGAAGCATTATAAAAATAAAAAAAATAAAAGCAAAAGGAGCAAAAATATGAAAAATATAAATAAAAGCTTTGAGGATAAAAATAGTGAAAAAGATATACATTTTGTAAATTAGATTCCTAGTAATGTTATTATCATAATTTAAATACTTTCAACTTCTGCACAGCTTTCTTAATAGTAGAAATCTTTTTTGATTCAAAAAATTTTTATAGCTTGAGGCCTGATTTTTCGAGACCTGATTTTTCACAAATATGTATTATTGTGCAGTATTTGAGGCTTAGCACACGTATTAGAACATGCTTTGTTCTTTATGATTCTTTACTGTATTACCAAATTTGATCTTCCTTCTTAAATAATTCTTTTTAAAAAAATTGATATTATCTTAATACTTGGTTGTCGCAAATGCATTATCCTCGCAGCATTTTTGAGGCTTATCACGTGTATTAGAATGCTTGGTTTAGATATTCTATATAGAGTTTCGAATTTTTAATTTAGTTTGTATACATAAATAAATAATACTATATCAAAATTTAATTGAGAACTTTTTTTGATCTAAAAAATTTTTTACAACAGATTTTCGCAAATGTGCATTATCATGCAGCATTTTGAGGCTTAGCATGCATATTAGAATATGTCTTATCCAATCCTAATTAAGCACTAATTGAGTTTACAAATTTAACTTTAATTGTACAAATAAATTAAAATTCAGAACTGAATTTATTTTATAATAAATTCGGCATGAAATATAAGAATTATCAGATTTAATTCAATATACATGTTGTTAATGATTCATAATAATTAGTATATTATAACTGGATACAATACTGTACATTCGCCTTGTATTATACAAAATTCAGTTGATATCAATATATTATATTTTAATATATACCCGCGATTATATAAACCGGTTTTTTTATAATTGAAAATATAAAAAGTTCATTGTCGTGCTTGCTATAAAAGAGCACTCTTAATCCAAAGTTCTGTTTTAAAAAATTTATTGTAACATTTTATCAAATAAAATTTAAATTCGTTCAAAAATCTACAAAAATCAATTTTTATACAAATTTATAGCTTCACTAAAAATGTCTAAACTTGCTTCACTAAAAATGTCTAAACAAAGAAAAATTAATGGCATCTGTATATACAGACATTCAAAAGGATTTACTATTTTATTTATAGGAAAAATAGAGGCAATTAACGAATTTAAAAATATTCTAAAGAAATCGGATAAACAAACAGAAGCAGATCTTGCTACAGTTAAATTACAACATTTCAGTAAAACAACAAACTACTATACAACTTTTATCAACCATTGCAATATTTATTGTAGTATTTATTTTAATATTTATTCCAAATTTATTTATTCTTTCCGTATTGCAGGCGGAAAATGATGCTTGCTAAAATAGAACATTAAAGATAGTTGACTACAAAGTTTCATAATAAAATTCAAATACTATTA